TTTTTTGCTGCTTGAGAACAGTAAGAATTCTAACACTGGATCCTATGGAAATATTTAAAACCAAAAACATTGTTTAGAGCCTGTGCATACTCTTGCATGGTGAACACTTTCATATGTGTTCTTAGTGAGCTAAAATAGTTAGCGCTGGTCATGACTCAGTGTTACATTCCCTACTTTAGGCTTACTATGTCTGGAAAACACAATAAGCCAGGCCAAAAGTCTTTGTATGGAGAAGTTTAGTAAACTGACTTGAATGGCTTCAACCATGACTCAGAGGATGTCATAAGCCAATAAACTTACTCTCCTTAGGCCAGCTTTCAATAAGACATCCCAATACACTCTGAGTTACAGTTTCTCAGTAGATGTTCTTCGTATTTGCATTTCTGCAAAGTTATGTGTCACTTTCACACACTATTTTGTGTGTGATTTCCTATGTTCCAATAGATAACAGAACAAACAATCTCTGTTCTTCATCTATAAAAACATTCACACTTTTTCTCTAACGTGACTAGAAGGATTGGTTTAGAAAAGAATACTTGATTTCTCAAGACAAGGCAAAAGATTATATATTTCCCACTGTCAGATGGGTAAGCTTAACTTTGCCAAAGACACTTTACTAAATTTAAATACCTTTTCTCTGAAAAATACTTCCAATCAAGCTTTGGGTGGAAGGTATCAAAATGCTTCATTTAGAAAAAATAGGTGAAAGCCAAAATTCTCTAGTACAATGGAATTTTTTATACTACATTTTGTTCAAAAAAAGATTGATGCTGACATATGAAGGTAAACACAATAGAGTAATATTACATAAAGCCAGGGCAATGGATAAATTTTTTCTGTAAGAATAAACAACAAAAATGTATGTTATTTATAAATAAAAGTTCAATACTGTTGATTATCCATCCCCTCTCAATTCACATATTGAAGCCATAACTCCTAGTGTGATTGCATTTGGAAATTATTCTTATTTGTATTTGGAGGTAATTAGGATTAGGTGAAGAAATGAAGGTGAGAACATGGTCTGATGGTATTAGTCTCCTTATAAGAAAAGATACCAGAGAACTTGCTCTCCCCCTCTGCCATGTGAGGACACAATGAGAAGGTGGCTCCTTGCAAACCAGAAAGAGAGCTTTCACCAGACACTGAACATTATCTTGGACTTTCCAACCTCTAGAACTGTGAGAAAGTAATTTCTTTTGTTTAAGCCATGCTGTATATGGTATTTTGTAATGGCTGTTCAAAGTATCCTAAGAGAAATACCAATTATGGTTTAGCAAACATAAAAATATTAGAAAGTTGTAGCATTAAAATATATATTTCTAGTAAATAATAGGTACATATATATATATATAAATATATAAATGGAAAATAATAGTAAGTCTAGGATCCAATATATAAAATAGTAGGTTAATGATAAATGAGGTTAGAATAAGAACCCATTTTGGAAAACATTGAACAATATTTCCTACTTTAGGAAGATAATTAATATGTAAAATAATAAACTTTAACATGAAGAAATGTACAAAAATAATTATGAAATGTTAATTTAGGGAGGGCCATCATCACAAGGCAAGCATCAATTGTCATTATATGGAAATTAATCTGCTGTGGCACCTAAGTGAGGTCTAACTGCAAAGACAGTTAACCTGTCTTCAGTCCAAAAATAGCATAGAGCAAATTTAAAAGGAAACAAAAAATTAGCAAAAATGTATTTGAAGCATTTATAAAAGAATTTCAATTAATATTTTTAGTCAAGAACTTTTTAAAATCAGAAAAAATCTCAACAGGAAATGAAAGTTAATATATAAAAAATAACACCAACTTTACTAGCAAGTTAAGAAAGAAAAATGAAGCAATCAAATTTATTTTTTGTATTGAATTATAAAATAAAGCAGATGATATTTTTTGTTGGACTTGGTATGGGGAATTGACAACTCATTTCTCTGGGAATTCAAATTGAAGTGGTACAAGGTTTTTCTGAAGGTTTTTGGCAACACATACAAATTAGTATTCACGTTTTATGTGTGAAGAAGCACTTTGTTCATAAAACGATTGACACTGACATATGAAGGTAAACACAATAGAGTAATATTACATAAAGTCAGGGCAATGGATGAATTTTATCTGTAAGAATAAACAACAAAATTTTTTGTTATTTATAAATAAAAGTTCAATACTGTTATGGACTGAATGATTATCTCTCCCCTCTCAATTCACACATGGAAGTCATAACTCCCAGTGTGACTGTATTTGGAAATATTTGTATTTGTATATGGAGGTAATTAGGATTAGATGAAGAAATGAAGATGAGAACATGGTTTGGGGAATTAGTTAAATAACCAGCCTAGCACGGTTATTGAGAGTAGAGCCAACCCTTAGTCCTAGCCCTTTAGTCACAATACTCTTCTATTATTTGAAAACAACAGAACCACGAAGACTACTCTCAGTGATTCCTGTGGTGGAAAATATCTCAAATCATAGCAATCATTATTTTCTAAACATCTGAACATGTGTCATAGATGATTTTCCATGTGATTAAGTATTTTTCTCCACATGATCTCTATGTCTTTTGAAAATTTTAATTGAAGCAATTCTGGTATAGAGTATCTACCTTTCGTTTCTAAAATAACAAACAACAACAAAAGACTCCTAATATAGCACCCAAAAAAACGTGTATACAAGATTCTGCTGTATCCTACCAGATAAACTAATTTCAAAATGTATGTTAGCATGTCTTAATGAGATAAACTTTACAGATGCCATTAGCTATTGCCAACTTCAAATTTGTTATTACTAATTGATTTATTGATCTGAAGTCATGTTTCTAAGAAAACTCTTAGGTCATGATAATAAAGTGCATCATGCTGATAAACTGATTGCTAGAAAATGCATAGTCTACAGAAACAGGAATTGTGGGGGGGATACGACTTCGTTTTGACAAAATCAGGCACCACATTTTCAAGAAACATTTTAAAAGGAAGGGAAGTTCAGAACACATATCACTTTCACCATATAGATAATTATCACCTGTTTTAAATAAAAAGGCGATTCCTAACCACTATGACTCCCAAGAATATTTGAAATCTCTCTTGGCTATTGTCATTACCTAATGACATCTACTCATCTGCTTTCATTCTTGGATCATAGCATCAGCTTTAAGAACTCTGGATTTTGAATTCAATTTAATTCATCCTTTACTCTCTTCTGTACCTATTAGTATTCTACTTATACGTTAAAGCCCAATATATTCCTTTTACATGAAGCCTTACCTTTTAAATACAGTGTAAACACTGGGCCAAACTGTATTGTAGTGCCTGTACTAATTCTGAAAACTAACTTCTCTGCTTTCAAAAAGCTTGCAGCCTGGTATAGTCATTCTTATCCAGGGTACATGTCACCCACTAAGATACTGGTATGAAAGATGCTCCATTTGGGGTTGTAAGATCTACAAATTTGTTTCAAGTGTAAATTATAGATAACTCAAATTAAGTTACAAAAGAACAAATTAGGTCTTGCCTAATTTGTGTGCTGCCTCCTGCTGCTCCTGATTCTAGTGTTAACAGTGGGGAGGGTGTCCAGGTTCTTGGTGTCTTGAACAAAGCATTGGAAAAAACACACAAACAAGGCAAGGAAGGAATGATGGGTTATAGTAAAAATGAAAGTACATTCCACAGTGTGGGAGTGGGCCTCAGCACAGGAGCTCAAAGACCCTGTTACAGAATTTTGAGGAGTTTAAATACCCTCTATGTAAATGAAGAGGATGAAGTTAAGCTACAAAGTCATTTACTTGGCCTACCGACCTATGGAAAGGATATTTCCTGTCATAACTGAAATGTGAATAGGCTTATGTTCCCTGCCTCCAGACCTTATTTTCCTGCCTTATTTCTGTGCTGAGAGATGTCAACTCATAAATCTTAATGGGAGGCAGAGGGACCGACAGTCTTTTTTCTGTAACTGCTTCATGCTGGCTTGGGCCATAGTCCCTACATGTTGGGGATGACAGAACTCACCCTCCTCTGACTAGTGGAGACAAGGTAGCTTCTTGATGGCAAGGCGTGGTGTCTTCACCTGGAACTGGCTGGAATCTTTGTTGCATGATCATCTGAAGGTGGATGGTCTCTAGGTGAGAGGAAATGAATTTGGTTAAAAGATTTAATAGGGGCCGGGCACTGTGGCTTATGCCTGTAATCCCAGCATTTTGGAAGGCAGAGACGGGAAAATCACCTGAGGTCAGGAGTTCAAGACCAGCCAGGTCAACATGGCGAAACTCTGTCTCTACTAAAATACAAAAAAATTAGCCGGGTGTGGTGGCATGCGCCTGTAGTTCCAGCTACCTAGGAGGCTGGGGTAGGGAAA